TGGGGGCGGCCGCTGGCTACCCCGGCAGAACGGGCGCCCGCGCGTGAGGTGATCGGCCGCAGCCCCCCCCGCAGCCCTGAGGCGGAGGAGTTTCGCTCTGCGCTAGGACCAAACGAGGGCTAACGCGGGGCGTGTGTGACAACCCTAGCAGTGACGGTCCTGAAGTGACCGTGGGCCCGACCTGACGGGAGAACCCTCCCGATTTCCCCGTAACGCTGCTGAACCAGTCCCGCGGACACCCGACCTTTCAGCAAGCAGCATTTTTTTTTTTTTTTTATTTTTTTTAAACACACCACCTAACTTAAGTGAAAAACATACAGTTAAGCTTAAATAAATGTGTGAGCATACCTTATACACTTCATTCACAAACAAATGAAAAGCTGATAATCGATACTTAGACAAAATGCGATCACCTACAAGTGGAGATAGTTAAAGAATTTTTTGTGTATATGTATGTGTCTCAGGAAAAAAAAAAATGAAGTCCAAGGAGAAAAGATTGTGCCCTTTCACCACTGCACAAGCTCAGTTTACCTGGAATATTAAAACACCTAGGTATTGAACATGGAAGCAGGTATCAGTTAAATGCAGCCTTTCACTATCACTGAAGGTAACGTTACAGGATCACTGCACTGTTAGAAAGAGAAAGTAAAAATCTCCAGCACGTGAAAGCCAAACTAATCATCTTCCTAAATACACATGTACTAAATAATGCACTAAATTTATTTTATTTCCTATGCAACCCTTATTTTGAGATTGTGAAAGTGAAAGTGTTTGTTGCTGTGGAGGTCAGTTCCACAATCTGATACAGGTGAACGGCAGTGGTCCAGCAGCACAAGCAGAGAGTAACTCTGCAGGCATTTGACGCTGCTTACCTGCAAAGTGACAGAGCTCCTTGCAAGGTACACAAACCGATGCAGAAGGATGATTTAGGTTAAGATGAGAGGACGAAAACACAATGCTCACTAAATCTACAGATACTGATTACTGGCTTGATGATTTAAGTCTTTCTAGGGCATTCAGGGCAGGAGTAGCGATAACAGGCATGAGTGGGATTAAACATTTCATTTGGGCCCCCGAAGTGCAGCATCGTTCTGTATGCAGAGCCCATGCTCTCTCTGGCTTTAAGTGATGGACAAGGATAGGATTTCATCTGAGAATTGCCTGTAACACTGCATGTATCTAGTGTCAAATTCCTCCATTATTATAGGTACAAGATTCTTAAAGTGTACTAAAAATAACATAATGCACGTCCAGAAATGTACGTCTGGGCTGGCTGTGCTCAGTACAGGACTAATTCACATTGGCATGAGAAAACAGTTAGTATAAAGTTCTAAGTCTCAGAGCAAGCAAAGGTTTCAACAACCGAGCAAGCGACATTGTTGACCAGCCAAGTAGTGACACCTGCTGAGCACCCACCTACCTCTCCGTGTGAGCTGGTGCAGAGTAGCAGAGGCTTGGTCAGCCCTGCTAGAAGTTTTGCCTCCATTACTGAAGTATTTAGCTGCCCATTTTCTGTAGCCCCAGAGAGGAGCCGTGGAAGTCAGAGGCCCTATTACACAAATCTCCACTTTAATATGCCAGAACCATCTCATTCCTCTGTCCCATAAATATTGTTCTTCTGCTGTTTTATTCTTTCCCCAGCTGCTGTCATTTCAAGGTGTAAATTAAATGACAGATGGATGTTAATACTTTCTCCTGTCATGCAGGCAGGTGACTTTGGACAGCTTGGGTGGCAGTGCTGTCAAACTTGAAGTGAGCATGCATCTTGTGAGAGAAAAAAAAACGCATGGGACTGAAAATTTTAAACTTCACTGAGATGTTTAATAAAGATGACATTTCAAAATTTTAGTAAGAGGCAACATCAACATAGCTATTAGGATCTTATTAAACCTTGCTGTAAGTGATGTTTCTTCTTAAAAAGATAGCAGCTGCTGGAGACAGGCAAGTAAATATTCTTGTGTATATTATTTTAGTTATGCTTGAGCATTGTAGCTAAAACTGAAACATGACAATATGGCGTTGGACATTAAAAGATAAAGTATGGGATCCCACATAATTTGGAATTTGTAGATTTATGGAGCTACTTCAGATTTTTAATAGGAGGAGAGAAAAAGAATTGTAGTATGCTAGCAATGCTACCAAGAGTAAGGAACAAGTTAAAAAGAAAACATTTGCTAAACAGTATATACCTATTTAAGGAATAGTGGGCAAAATGGAGCAGGATTTGATTCAGTTTAGGTTGGAGCCACCTAGCATGGTATGCAACACCAAGCTGGAGCCACTATAAACGGCTTTTCTGAACATCTTACTAAGTGTATTACTTTACTAAAACACCTACAAATCATCCAAGCACAGAATAGTTGGGAAACAGTATTTTTTTAAAATGGCAGAGTCCTATAGCAAGGAAACAATTAGTACTTATTCCAGAGTGTGGTGACTTATTCTGTCCTGTTAGGTACACCTTTTTATTTTTTTCCAGACAACATGAAATTATATGCTTGACTGATAGTCAGCTCTTAAAAGGCACAGCCATTAAGATATATTAGCGTTACGTTGTCTACAATGTGATGCCATGTCAGGGGAAAATATAATTTAAACTGTATTTATTTTCACCTCCTTATATAGAAAATGTAGGTGGTTTTTTTTTTTTTCCCCCCCCCCCCCCCCCCCCCCCAAGATAAGAGTTTTACATTTAAAGGATACAGTGATAGTAGTAGAATAAGATAGCAAAGATATTTCATTGGGCAACAAAATAATCACAACTGCAGAAATTACAGCATGAAGTTAATTAATAGTTTTGCCCTACAAGTATTTCCATGTATTATATAGGACTTTTATCATGTATATCGTATTTCTGTCTAAAGTCACTCCTAGTAACTTGGAGCCTTTAGAAGACAACCCAACTCCCTCCTTAAGCAAGTACTCTAACTAAATCTTCTGAAGCTGATGTATGTTCCTGCTTCTTGGTACGCTTATGCTTAGCACTGAAGGTATATACCCAAGCCATTAATCAGATGTTCCCACCCCAAGGGTTTTTGGGTGTTAGACAGAAATACGACATACATGATAAAAGGCCTATATAATACATGGAAATACTTGTAGGGCAAAACTATTAATTTTCTCTAGCTGGGGTCAAATTTGACATCCACAGGAATATAATGCTACTGTATATCCAAAGTAGCTCCGGCTAAATCAGTGGGACTAATTTTAGTATGCTATTCAGACTGGATAGGAGTGCAACTTTGAACATAATCTATTTCACACACAAAATATTTTGAATCAGCAACACAAAAAATACATAGAAACTTTCTAGTCTATCCTGGATAATTTTGCTTGCATTCATGTTTTAAAATATTTAGTATCACCTTTAAATGGTGTCAATAAACCCAGAGAACCAAGAAAAACAGATAGGGCTGACAGAGAACGGCCAAATGCAAGACTGAATAATAAGCAAAAAGATCAGTCCAACCACCTTCAACAGACTCACGCTTGCTCTCTCAAGTACAGAGAGAGAGGCTGTACTTGAGAGAACAGTCAGATGAATTTAAGACAAGTTGCAGCACATTTTTCATCTAAGCTCCCACATTGTTCTGAGACCCCTGCAGTGCACAGGCAAAACCAAACAAGCATCACAATTTCCGATATGGCTCCTTGCTGAAAGCAGCTGGAAACCTCTGAAAATTGTGATGTAGCTGCCTGTTGTAGTCAGGAAGGGACATAGGGAGTCAGGGTCCCGGTTCCTGGGAGGTATTCTGC